TCTCTTTCTCCTCTCTCTCTCCCCCCCCTCTCTCTCTCTTTCTCTCTCTCTCTCTCTCTCTCTCTCTCTCTCTCTCTCTCTCTCAGAAGTGTTGTCTATGATAATAGCCGAGTCATTCTGAGATATTTCCTCTACAAACAGTTTACTACTTCTGCTCCAACGAACCCCCATAGACATAATCTGAAGCAAACTTGAACTGGCGCTCATATGACTTTATGCAATTGCGAGCGCCGTAAAACTCTCACAAAAAATCAAACTACAATTCACCAGGTTTGTCTGAGTCATAGTTTGATTGCAACTGATAAGGTCATATTAGCGCCGTTAAAAAACCAGCAACCCATTACCGCTACCAAATACAAATTAAAACTCGCCATCTTTGTCTTCTCCTCTATGCCTCCAAGAAACATCGCTATGAACCATGACCTGACTAACTCACCATCTTTGTTTTCCTCTCTCTCTCCTCTAGAAGCCTCGCTATGAACCATGAACAGACTAATGAACTATGACATGACTAACTCCCCCCCTCTCTTCCCTCCCTCTCCAGAAGCCTCGCTATGAGTCATGAACAGACTAATGAACCATGACCTGACTAACTCACAATCTTTGTTATCCTCTCTCTTCCTCCCAGAAGCCTCACTATGAACCATGAAGAGACTAACTCACCTCCTTCCCCTTCTCCAGAAACATCGCTATGAACCATGACCTGACTAACTCACCATCTTTGTTTTCCTCTCTCTCTCCTCCAGAAGCCTCGCTATGAACCATGAACAGACTAACTCACCATCTTTGTTTTCCCTTCTCTCCTCTCTCCAGAAGCATCGCTATGAACCACGAACAGACTAACTCACCATCTTTGTTATCCTCTCTCTTCCTTCCAGAAGCCTCGCTATGAGCCATGAACAGACTAATGAACCACAAACAGACTTACTCACCCTCTTTGTTCTCCCTTCTCCTCCCCACAGAAGCCTCGCTATGAGCCATGAACAGCCACAATGAAGATGACCTGGGCGCCTCGGTGGAGCATGTCTTCGACCAGTTCGTCACAGCGGTCACCTGCAAGTCGGTGCTGTCCAGTTTCCACCAGCTGCTGGACCTGACGGGGCTGCGCCATGCTGACCACTCGCACTTCTACCAGTCGCTCAAGGCCAAGCTCAAGGGCTCGTGGAAGGCACAGTCGCTGTGGACCAAGCTAGACAAGAGGGCGTCGCATCGAGACTACAAGCGGGGACAGGCATGCAAGGATATACGGGTGAGTGGTTGGCGGGTGCTCTGGTGTGGTTTGCTCCTTCTTTCCTATCAAACATCTATCGTCCTTTTCTCTCCTCCTTTTTTGTGTTTGTTACTCTCTTGTAACACCTCTAATCTTCGGCACTTATATGACCTTATTGTGTTACAAGTGCCGTTAAACTCTTTCTAAAACTAAACTAGGATATACGGGTCAGTCACGTTTTCTGTCTTGAGTGTTCCGTCAATTGTTGGCTCAAAGTCAGAACCACCTCCTTTTGAATTTGTAGGTCTCAGTATGGTGTCTTGGCTGTTGATTAAAGTTGTTCCCGGATCCGATCTGGACATTGGGGATTGCCTCGTTAGTGAGACAACTTCCTGGGCCTTCGGCATAATATTGTGGTAGGGTGGCCAGTTCCTTTCCATGCTGCCTTTACTTCCCCAACTCGAAGTCAGGTACCCATTACT